CTGGCTCTGCTGCCGTCTGAGTGTCTGCTGGAGGCCGTGGCCTGTGAGGAGCTGGTGATGGCCGACAAGAGGAGCAGGTACTGAGTGTGTGTGTGTGTGTGTGTGTGTGTGTGTGTGTGTGTGTGTGTGTGTGTGTGTCTGTGTGTGTGTGTGTGTGTGTGTGTGTGTGTGTGTGTGTGTGTCTGTGTGTGTGTGTGTGTGTGTCTGTGTGTGTGTGTCTGTGTGTGTGTGTGTGTGTGTGTGTCTGTGTGTGTGTGTGTGTGTGTGTCTGTGTGTCTGTGTGTGTGTGTCTGTGTGTGTGTGTGTGTCTGTGTGTGTGTGTGTGTGTGTGTGTGTGTGTCTGTGTGTGTGTGTGTGTGTGTGTGTGTGTGGTTGTGTGTGTTGTGTGTGTGTGTGTGTGTGTGTGTGTGTGTGTGTGTGTGTGTGTGTGTGTGTGTGTCTGTGTGTGTGTGTGTGTGTGTGTGTGTGTGTGTGTGTGTGTGTGTCTGTGTGTGTGTGTGTGTCTGTGTGTGTCTCCTTCTCCTCCTCCTGCTCCTCCTCCTCCTCCTCCTTCTCCTCCTCCTCCTTCTCCTCCTCCTCCTCCTGCTCCTGCTCCTCCCTCCCCCTTCTCCTCCTCCTGCTCCTCCTCCTCCTGCTCCTCCTCCTTCTCTCCTCCTCCTCTCCTCCTTCTCCTCCTCCTGCTCCTCCTCTCCTCCTTCTCCTCCTCCTCCTCCTTCTCCTCCTCCTCCTCCTCCTTCTCCTCCTCCTGCTCCTCCTCCTCCTTCTCCTCCTCCTTCTCCTCCCCTTCTCCTCCTCCTTCTCCTCCTCCTGCTCCTCCTCCTTCTCCTCCTCCTCCTCCTCCTTCTCCTCCTCCTGCTCCTCCTCCTGCTCCTCCTCCTCCTCTTCTCTCTCCTCCTCCTCCTCCTTCTCCTCCTCCCTCTCCTCTCCTTCTCCTCCTCCTGCTCCTCTCTTTCCTCCTCCTCCTCCTCCTTCCTTCCTCTCCTGCTCCTCCTCCTGCTCCTCCTCTCCTCCTCCTCCTTCTCCTCCTCCTTCTCCTCCTTCTCCTCCTCCTGCTCCTCCTCCTTCTCCTCTCCTTCTCCTCCTCCTCCTCCTCCTCCTTCTCCTCTCCTGCTCCTCCTCCTTCTCCTCCTCCTGCTCTCCTCCTCCTCCTCTCCTCCTCCTCCTGCTCCTGCTCCTCCTCCTCCTCCTTCCCTCCTCCTTCTCCTCCTCCTGTCCTCCTCCTCCTTCTCCTCCTCCTCCTCTCCTCCTTCTCCTCCTCTCCTCCTTCTCCTCTCCTCCTCCTTCTCCTCCTCCTCCTCCTCTCTCCTTCTCCTCCTCCTCCTCCTCCTCCTCTCCTCCTCCTTCTCCTCCTCCTTCTCCTCCTCCTGCTCCTCTTCCTCCTTCTCCTCCTCCTGCTCCTCCTCCCCTTCTCCTCCTGCTCCTCCTCCTCCTGCTCCTCCTCCTTCTCCTCCTCCTCCTCCTCCTCCTTCTCCTCCTCCTGCTCCTCCTCCTCCTCCTTCTCCTCCTCCTCTCCTTCTCCTCCTCTTCTCCTCCTCCTGCTCCTCCTCCTCCTTCTCCTCCTCCTTCTCCTCCTCCCCCTTCTCCTCCTCCTTCTCTCCTCCTCCTCCTCCTCCTCCTCCTCCTCCTTCTCCTCCTCCTCCTCCCTGCTCCTCCTCTCCTCTCCTCTCCTTCTTCCTCCTCCCCTTCTCCTCCTGCTCCTCCTCCTGCTCCTCCTCCTCCTTCTCCTCCTCCCCTTCTCCTCCTCCTCCTGCTCCTCCTGCTCCTCCTGCTCAGCTCTCTGAATGAGACTGGTGTGGGCGGAGCTTTGCGAGCAGCATGCCAAGCTTTCAGTGAAGATGTTAAAGAAACGAGAGTTGCTCTCTCTGCTCGTGCTGTGTGTCTCCTGCAGGTCCATAGTAGAGGAGGCCATGCAGTGTAAGAAGAAGATCCTTCAGAACGACGGCGTGGTGACCAGTCCCTGTGCTCGACCACGAAAAGCTGGACACACGCTGCTGATCCTGGGAGGCCAGACCTTCATGTGTGACAAGATCTACCAGGTAGAGTCTGGAACCACTTCATCAAGTACCAGGGTGCATGAAGGGGTGCACAGAGACATGAAACAGGACAAACACGGCCCAGAGGTTAGAGGTCAGGGACTGAATTAGACAGCTAGCAGCTCCAACCTGTCACTCAAAGAGGCCACGCCCCCTAATTCTACATCACTCTAAGTCTTAAAATAATGTAAACAGGTGAGTTGTATAAACATTCAGCCCGAACAGGTGAATAGAGAAATGAGATCTCGAGACACAAACTGTTTTTATACCAGGATGTAAACATGTTTATTTTAACATAGAGCTCTATGGGGACTGACTCACTGCAGGAGACAGACTCTAGTGGACACTGGAGGAACTGCAGCTGTAAAGTTAGACATTTAACATGGAGCTCTATGGGGACTGACTCACTGCAGGAGACAGACTCTAGTGGACACTGGAGGAACTGCAGCTGTAAAGTTAGACGTTTTAACATGGGGCTCTATGGAGACTGACTCACTGCAGGAGACAGACTCTAGTGGACACTGGAGGAACTGCAGGTTTTTGATGCACTTCTTCGTTGGGTTAAATCTTAGAAACCTTTTCTCAAACCCATGAAGAGTCTATAAAACATGCAGATGGTCGTCTTATCTTTGTATGGAGTAAGACTGAAGGATTATGGGTAGAGCAGTAAATGTATTTATCTGGTTGAGATGGAGGCTGCACGGTAGCACAGTGGTTAGCGCTGTTGCCTCACAGCGAGACAATCGCAGAGGAAACACGGAACATGACCAGCCAGGTGAAACTGGTCGGAGAGGGCTCATCTCTGTGGTCTCCCAGTGCATGCTCAATAACTGCTGACTCTAAATTGTCTGTAGGTGTCTCTATATGTCAGCCCTGTGACTGGCTGGAGAACAGTCCAGGGTGTAACCCCGCCCCCTCACCCAATGACAGCTGGGATCAGCTCCAGAGTTTAAAAATGTCTCCTCTCCGTCTTATTGGCTACTCACTGGTGACCCTTCTCCTCTCTCTCTGTGATGGTGCACTGTTATTTATAATCTCACTCTCAGCTGCTCACCTGTGTGTGTGTGTGTGTGTGTGTGTGTGTGTGTGTGTGTGTGTGTGTGTGTGTGTGTGTGTGTGTGTGTGTGTGTGTGTGTGTGTGTGTGTGTCTGTATGTGTGTGTGTGTGTGATGTGTGTGTGTGTGTGTGTATGTGTGTGTGTATGTGTGTGTGTGTGTGTCTGTATGTGTGTGTGTGTGTATGTGTATGTGTGGGTGTGTGTGTATGTTGTGTGTGTGTGTGTCTGTATGTGTATGTGTGTGTGTGTGTGTGTCTGTATGTGTTGTGTGTGTGTATGTGTGTGTATGTGTGTGTGTGTGTGTGTATGTGTGTGTGTGTGTGTTGTGTGTGTGTGTGTGTGTGTGTGTGTGTGTGTGTGTGTATGTGTGTGTGTGTGTGTGTGTGTGTATGTGTATGTGTGGGTGTGTGTGTATGTGTGTGTGTGTGTGTGTGTGTGTGTGTGTGTGTGTGTGTGTGTGTGTGTGTGTGTGTATGTTTGTGTGGGTGTGTCTGTATGTGTGGTGTGGGTGTGTGTGTGTATGTGTGTGTATGTGTGTGTGTGTGTTGTGTGTGTGTGTGTGTGTCTGTATGTGTGTGTGTGTGTCTGTATGTGTATGTGTGTGTGTGTGTGTCTGTATGTGTGTGTGTGTGTGTGTGTGTGTGTGTGTGTGTGTGTGTGTGTGTGTGTGTGTGTGTGTGTGTGTGTGTGTGTGTGTGTGTGTAGGTGGACCATAAAGCTAAAGAGATCATTCCTAAAGCTGACCTTCCCAGTCCCAGGAAGGAGTTCAGCGCGTGTGCTATCGGCTGTAAGGTGTACGTGACGGGAGGTCGAGGGTCGGAGAACGGCGTTTCTAAAGACGTCTGGATCTACGACACGGTCCACGAGGAGTGGTCCAAAGGAGCGCCCATGCTGATAGCCCGGTGAGCATTTGTCTCCTAAACACCGGTGTTATGTTTCTCACATTGTGACAAACTGAGGCCTCGTGTCCAGCCGGCGTTTGAGAGTCTTCGTCCAATAGCGAGGAGAGAGCGTTTGCAGAGAAGAAGCGCGGCGCCCAGAGCTCCTCTTGGGCTGCTCGGAGCGCTTTGAGTTAAACATCTTTCCACTTTCAGAACAGCTCTGTTGTCTTTTCAGGATCGTGCCCTGTAACCACATCGTCCTCGCTCCGTGTGAGCGTCCTCTGTTTGACGCTCTTAGAGAAGGAAAAACCATCTCAAATAGAAAACATACAAGAAAAGCAACAGAGCGTGTCGGTCATACAGCAGCTTTTCTTAAGGGTGTTCTGAAGCTCCTCCTCCTCACCCCCCCCCCCGGCCTGCAAATTCATCTAGAGACAAGAATAATAATAATCACAATAATAACTATAATAATAATTATAATAATTATTATTATAGTTATTATAACAATTATTATAATAATAACTACAATAATAATTATAATAATAATAATAATTATATAATAACTATAAAATAATTTATATTATAATAATAACTATAATAATAATTATAATAATACTGAGCTAATGATGAAAGAAAAAAACATTCACACACAACAATTAAAAAACAACAACATGATCATGGTAACTTTGATAAATTAATCAAATTAGGATTCTACTTGATCCCCCGTCATGGGATATAATCTAGATATATCCTTTCACATTATACATGATTTTCTCAGGTGTACAATACGATAGAAACTCGTGACCACCACTGCCTGATTGGGGGAGGGGTTTCAGATTTCCAGTGGCATAACATCCTAATAATGATAATTATATATAAAATTATCAGCTGTTTTAAGTGAGTATAATAAGAATCAAACGGGTGTGTTTGCTCCTCCAGGTTCGGCCACGGCTTCCGCTGAGCTGGAGAACAGTCTCTATGTTGTCGGAGGTCACACGGCCATCGCTGGAGTGTTTTCCCGCCTCTCCATCGGTCTCTCTGAAGCAGGTCAACGTCATGTCTCTAAATGTTCAAACAGAAAGCATGTGATGGTCTCCGTCTGACTCCGGTGTGATGTTGTGCAGGTGGAGCGCTACGACCCTCTGAGTAATAAATGGACCATGATGGCTCCTCTCAGAGACGGAGTCAGCACACGCAGCCGTGGTCAGCGCCAAGCTCAAGCTGTTTGTCTTCGGAGGGTCCACCATCCCAGAGACAAAGGCCTCCAAGGTGACAGATCCTGTCTGTGATGTCATCAAACATCTTTTTCATGACAAATACTTTCAATGTGTTTCTTGTGTTGTTCTTCACGACAGAGGATTAGGGCCACGTATAAAAAAAAAAACATTTAATTTTGTGATTGAAGTCGTAAATTTACGAGATTAAAGTCGTAGATTAACGAGATTAAAGTCGTAGATTTACGAGATTAAAGTCGTAGATTAACGAGATTAAAGTCGTAGATTTACGAGATTAAAAGTCGTAGATTTACGAGAATAAAGTCGTAGATTAACGAGATTAAAGTCGTAGATTTGAGATTAAAGTCGTAGATTAACGAGATAAAGTCGTAGATTTCGAGATTAAAGTCGTAGATTTACGAGAATAAGTCGTAGATTTACAAATGTAATCTCTTAATTAACGAGACCAGCCTGCGCCGAAAATGATGAAAGTGGAACTCTTAAAGTCTTTAAAGAATAAAAGAATAAAGTCGAGATTATTCTCGGTAAATTTACGAGTTTAATCTCGAAATTTAAAAAAAAAATTAAAATGTAACATGGCCCTAATCCTCCGTCGAAGTTCTTCTGCAGAATGTGATGAAGATATCGTCTTCATTCAGCCTCGCTTATTGACAAACATCTAAAAACCTTTTGATTCTTGAGATTTGAGTTTGACGTCCCATTGACCTTGTAGTGTTTCGTCCCGTCACAGCCTGACTCGCCTCTCACCTGAGTCACCTGCTCTGTCCTCCATCAGGTGCAGTGTTACGACCCCGTGGGGAACGCTGCACATAGCGCTGAATGTCCTCAGCCGTGGCGGTACACGGCAGCGGCTTGTCTTAGGGAGCCAGATCTTCATCATGGGGGGCGACACCGAGTTCACCGCCGCTCCGCTTATCGTTCGACTGTGAGACCAATCAGTGGACTCGAGTGGGTGACATGACGTCCAAACGGATGAGCTGCCACGCCGTGGCGTCGGGGAATAAGCTGTACGTGGTGGGCGGGTACTTTGGGACGCAGCGGTGTAAAACTTTAGACTGTTACGACCCGACGTCAGACAGCTGGAACTCCATCACACCGTGCCTTACTCTCTGATCCCCACTGCCTTCGTCAGCACCTGGAAACACTGCCGGCCTGAGGGGAGGAGCCAAACACCAGGTAAAGTGTGAGGATTAACTCATGAGGTTTCAGGCTCAAGTCAAATCATTTAAAGTTTTTATGTGATTTTTTATCCAGCAGATGTCGCCCTTGAGCTCCAGCATGAAACCAAAACAACTTGTGCTGCATTGTTGTGTTAGCGATGCTAATGCTAACGATCTTTTATGCTGGTATCTTCACACTGCATGTAAATTGACCTGAAATGAGCGTGATCTAGAAACACAGTTAAGCAGTGAGTACAGTATGTTATTCTTCTTTTCTCTAGTCCTCAATTAAACAACTTTTATACACGAGGGGAGGAGTCAGCCGGCCGTCCGGGCGATGTAAACAAACTGAAGATAGGACTCTGAAAACTCTGAAAACATCACAGACAGTGGGACTCGGGTGTTACACCCATTGTAGACAGTCATGACTCTCAGAGTTATTTCAGAGGAGATACTTGATTTATATATTTAAGTGTGAAAAATCACATAGAAAGACTTTAAGACAGGACAAACCTTCAAATAAAAGCCTAACAACTTTTATTTTGAAATGAGAAATAATGTTATTTCAAATATGCAATAAAAATGTGATTTTAGGGTTTATATTAATCATGTTAAGACGTAGAGTCTCCCGCTGTGACGGACGCTTCAGGACCAAGCAGCTGCATCTAAATATCCCCCCCGCCCCCCCGCCCATCCTTCTGTCTCCTGTGGGTATAAGGACCCTCGTCAGCGATGCTCAGCTGCTTTAGAACGATCATTGACTTCCTCTCCCCCGAGTCTGCACTCAGACTGCTGTGTGTGTTTGTCAGTTTTTAACATCATTATTTATTTATTGTCAAAACAGGAAATGAGGCAAAGGCTTAAGAAGTCATAAAAAGGGATTCCTGTGGTGATTGATTTAAACATCAGGAGTGACAGAGGGATCTTTATAAACCTGACTGAGCTATAGGGGCAGACACACGTTAGCTCAGGGCCAATCAATGGACTGCAGTGTCTAGCTCCGCCCTCTAGTGTCAGATTGGTACGCTCTTAAACATTTTTCAAAGCAAACTGAAGACCTACCTTTACAGCTTTTAACTGAATCTCATTTCATCTTGTTTTATTATTTATTTTATTTTCCTCATTTAGAATAAGTGATAGCATTTCCTCACTACCTGTTCTTAGTTATTTTGACTTTAGTTTTTGGATTGTGGGGTCGGGGTGGGGGAGGGGGTCATGTTGTTGATGTAAAGCACTTTGGGATACATTTGTTGTATGAAAAGTGCTTTATAAATAAAGTTTGATTGATTGATAGTTAAAGGACGGTACAGATTATTTTATTATTATTATTTTACTGCTCCCATACAGAAGTGAACGGGCAGCGGAGCGTTCTCTGGTAAACGTCCAATAAGAAGTTTGTGTGTGTGTGTGTGTGTGTGTGTGTGTGTCTGTGTGTGTGTGTGTGTGTGTGTCTGTGTGTGTGTGTGTGTGTGTCTGTGTGTGTGTGTGTGTGTGTGTGTGTGTGTGTGTGTGTGTGTGTGTGTGTGTGTGTGTGTGTCTGTCTGTGTGTGTGTGTGTGTGTGTGTCTGTCTGTGTGTCTGTGTGTGTGTGTGTGTGTCTGTGTGTGTGTGTGTGTGTGTGTGTGTGTCTGTGTGTGTGTGTGTGTGTGTGTGTGTGTGTGTGTGTGTCTGTGTGTGTGTGTGTGTCTGTCAGGATTAGTAGAATAATGTCTGAGGAGAAGATTCCCCCCCCCCCGTACCGAGTTGTGGCTGCTTTACACAAACATGTCAGAGGCGCTCTGATTGGACAGAAACATGCTGACGTGATGATGTGTGTCTCGTCTCGTCCTCAGGTGTGGAGGAGGATCTCTGAGAGTCCAGCAGGACCAACAGGAGACTCTGGATCAGTCCTGAACTACAGCTTCATAATGTGTTTCAATAATGTCTTATCAATCCTGAAAATAACCAGACGTGTCAGGATCAGTCTGCAGAGGGCGCTAAACGACTTGTTCACTCAAAGGTTGCCGATATGAAACCGAGATTTTCACCAGACGGCTTCAAGCCTCTTACATAGACTCTCTTCTCCCAGACCTGGAGAGCCCCCCCCCCCCGTGGCGTGCAGACAGTCCATGGTCGTGCAGCGATGTGACTTAAACTGACTTAAACTACCTTAACTTGACTTTTTCTTTCTTAGTGACTGAACTGGATCCAGCAGAGGTCTACATGTCTCTTTTGATACCACACATTTGAAACAATGCGACCTCTTCTTATTTTAAAGATGGACGGCATCAAAAAGAACTGAAACTTCAAAAAACAGCTGCTTCTGTTTCATCAGCCAAGACAGGTGTGAGGAGAGGAACCCACCAAAACATCTCAGACAAACTCCTGCACACCTGTCTGAAGCGCAGTGTGCGAGAGATTCTCTGCAACAAATGACCCAGCAGACGAAGGGTTAATGGACTTCTCTTCTGGCTGCCTCGGTGACAAACACTTTTTAATGTTATTAGATTTGTACTTGAATCATATGGAGGCATCATGATGTCACCAGTCTCATGTTGAGACTCTTGTGTGTGTGTTTGTGGTACAAACAACACAACTCACTTCTTCTTTTTGCCTTTTTGCAGTGAAAGTGTAAAGAGACCTCTGGTAAGCTTTAAGCTTTAGTTCTTTGAACCCTCAGGCATCAGTTTGATTCACGACCCTCTGAAGTCACTAAGGACAAAAATGTCCACTTCCAAAAAACTGATCTAAAAATAGAACAGATTGATATTTTTTTCTACTTTTTTCTGCATGAATCTCTTAAACAACTCCAGCCCTGCTCAAACATTAAATCATTTTTAGGAATTTAACCCTTTAAATGCCAGTTTGATTATTTGATGTCACTGTTGTTATTTAAGAAAAAAACACAAAAATGAGTTATTTTCCATAAAACAAATATTTGGTGGCTGGGGGATTTTTTTTAAATCAGTCTTGGATATGTCAAAGATTATCCAAAACATTAACTTTGAAGCATTGTTAGTTTTTGTTTAGCATCAGATTTAAAATGTAGTTCCCTGTTTGGACATTGGAGGGCGAAAATGTCCAATTTACAAAAACTGCTATAAAAATAGAACAGATTGATGTTTTTTTCTACTTTTTGTTTGCATAAATCTCTTAAAACAACTTCAGCCCTGCTCAAAACTGTCAAATATTGAATAAGTATCAGGAATTTAACCCTTTAAATGCCAGTTTGATTACATGATTATGGCATTTAAAGGGTTAAATTCCTAAAAATTGAATGTTTGGTAGTTTTGAGCAGGGCTAAAGTTGTTTAAGAGATTTATGCAGAATAAAGTAGAAAGAAATATCAATCTGTTCTATTTTTATATCAGTTTTTTGGAAGTGGACATTTTTGTCCTGAGTGACTTCAGAGGGTAGTAAACATGTTTCAGTGTTCTATTGATCTATTAAAAATATATAAAATGTGCATTCCAAAACGTGTCAAGAGAGAAAATTTCTTACAAAACATGTGTTCCATATGTACTAACAGACAAAATGATGACCAGATGAAGAGGAAACATTTGACCAAATGGACGAAAATGTCCATAATGAGTCATGAGGGTTAAAGAGCATTGAGCAGCGTCTGTGTGACCGCTTCACTTACAGAAAAACTTTGA